ATCTTAATCAGTCATCACAAAATTCAAGTCTTAAATATTCACCGAAAGGTATCTATATATATATATAAATTGATTTGAATTTTTTTCATATTTATTCAAATGAGTCCTAGATCATTTATCTTTTAGACAAATAATTATTATTATTAACAAAATTGAAACATTTCATATCTCTATATTATATTTAATAAAAATATTTAAAAGTTATTAATATTTTTTAGATTAATTAATGTTATATTTGATTTTCAAATCATCTTTATTAATATTATATGTTATTATTATTATTATTATTATTATTATTATTATTATTAATTTATTCTCTCTCATAGTATAATATTGCTATGTTGGTGAGTAGTAATAAATAATGTAAGAGCAAGCCAGTGCGTCCACTTTGGTAACCAGTGATCCTTTTAATGGAATTTAATAGAACTTCATTATACATTATACATTAGGTGCTCAATTATACTGGCCTTATTAAACTATCCATGGGCTCAATATATATATTTGTAAGATTCATGGTGGTGACAGTAACAACCAAACTCCTATGCCTAGAAAAGTGAGTTATTCAAATCATTTAAAAAGATTATATATCGATCTGATTTTACATCTATGCATATAATACTCCAATAACTACATTTTAATAGTAACAGTAAATGTATTTATTTATCAAAGATATTTTTTTTTTTAAATCAAGATAGGGTGAAATATTAAACATGAAACCTCACCTAAAGAAAATTCAAATTGTATAATTCATCACTTTGTAGAAACCCAGTCCTTTTTCAATATAATCAAACACCCTTAGCATAAAAGTACTCCAACTTTATAATATCCAAACAAAATTCAAATAATTGCAACAAATTGTAAACATTTTATTTTAAAATGTAGCTGAAAGTGACCTTTTCCTAATTTGGACTCTTTTATTAGGGCTCTTGGGAAGATGAATTCAAGACTAGAAAAATAGTTCTTGTGCAGTATATATATAGTATACAACTTTGCACACTGAATCTTTTCACAAGAACCATGAAAGTCATAAATGACCATTTCACCCCCCCAATGAGTAACAGAACTGAAAGATGCTAGTAGTTCTTCTGACCTTCTCTGTGCCTCCTCTGACCGTTACTCAACACCCAGAGTCATATACTCCCTGCAATCCCTTGTCTCCTTTTCCATCTGTGAAATTACCCATTTGCCCTTTTGTCATCTAACTAGGGTTAATTTTTTTTTCCTCCATGATTATGTCTTGCTTTCTATGTTGGCCTTGATTATGGTTTCTTAATGCACCTACTTTGGCTGTGGCCATTGATAATATCCCCCTGTCAACGTCCATGATGCAACCCAACTAAACAAATAAGAGTGCCACTTGAGGTGATTGAGCCACATAAATTATTGTGAATTATTATTTCGTATTTTGTGTCAATCTCGATCACTATATCGTATACCATATGCAATTGTGTAGTTCTGCTAAGTGCTATGCTATACTAATACTACAGCTATATATACGAATTGACCTCAAATAAAGAAAATCGTGTGTTTTCATTTGCATCTGTGTAATTGAATAATGCAAACAATTAATCTATTTTCTAAGCTTCCACGCTTTTGATTTGTGTGTAATTAGTTCTTGTATGTGTGAATGGGTTGTGTGTTTATCATATATCACATTGGATAAGCATAATATTAAGTAATTAATGTTTAGAGTAATTAAACTACGTCCATACTTTATTAGGTTACTTGAAATTGTATCATACTTTTTTTTTATCTTTACTAATTAATTCCTTTTAATTATTTTAAAAAGATAACACTAACATTATTAAATCATTACATAAATCTTCTTTAATTATTTGAAAAACATTACACAACTAATTATTATGAAAAATATTGTTGTAGATTCTCACAAAATTTTAGGAAGTATTAGTATAATGTACTCTAATGTTTGATAACGATATTTTAGTGAATTTTCTCCATTTTAAAGTTTTTAATATAGTGTTAACTATATATATATATATATATATATATATATATAGTTTATAAGAGATGAAAAATTAATTAATAAAATAAATAAAGTGACTACTAATTAGTTTTAGTTTATTTCCATATTAAAACAATTCAACTCTCTCGATTGCAAGAAAAAATGCTGCCATACCCAAAAAAAAATTCAAAAAATACCTAGTTTCAAAGCTGAATTCTCCTTAAACATATATGAATAAATTGATTTGACTGTCTTTCTGCCAAAAGGTTGGTGAACTGTAATTATGTGATTAGTCTATAAATAATATATAAAAAATAGGTGGAATATAAAAATATTTACAATAATTTGTTGGACTGAATCAGAAATAATACGAAAAAAAAACTAATAAAAACTGAGGTAGAAAATTGGTTTGATCTGTTTTTCCTTTTAATTTTTAAATAAATAAAGGTTCATATATATATAAGGTGTATGAAATGTACTATGTTATTTATTTTTACTATTAAATTTTTAATCTTTGAATACATTTAATTTTAGAATTTTTACTAATTCAGTGATCGATCGAGTCTAATTTTTGGAATATTTCGTAAAGCAAAGCGTTTATGAGCTACAAATATCATTTCAATATAAATATCATTATAATATATTACTGTAATAGTGATTAATTTGCTTCAAGTTTTATTATAATAGAACTTTTTTTTAAAGGATAACTATAGAACTTAAGATTTAATTAATAAACTCCTTTTGTATTAATTATTGTTAATATAGGAAATTATTGTCACAATGCTGTTCTATATCGGATACATAATGTCCCACGTTCAATCCTTTCAGGAGTGACTTTAGGTATTCAAACTTGACTATCATAATTATTAATTAAAAAATTGATAAAAAAATATAAAATGACAATCTATTACTCTTTTTAATACGTTATTCATGTGAAATATCTAGCCATTTTATTAATGTCTTACCTTTAACAAAATCTTCCTGTTTAGTTATTTTTTTATTCATATATATACTCAAATTTAAAATTATTTAAAATATTTAAACTTAATTTTATTTAAATCAATATAATATTAGTAATATATTTTTTTATGTGCACAATAATCACACAAAAGTTCAAGCTCTCACATGCAACCACAATCTCATCACTAAGCCGGCATGGTGATTATTTTGTAATGTTGGTAATGCTAATGCATTATTAATTTGATGGGTTACTAATGAAAGATATTTTAGACAAATGCAAAGGGAGTTAGCGAAGATGGTGACAATAAATAATAGAGATACTCCCTTATTATACGGAAAGAAAATGTTATTTTCATGTTGTGCATCTTTTATGAATAAATAAAAATAAAATAAGATTTTCATATAGTATACATAAAGTAAAAATATCGTTATTCGATGAGAGAAACCGTATATATGTTGAAAATGAGATGCTAGGCAGTAGTAGACATAAAAGTATTTTGCTTTTACTTTGGGGAAGGGTAAGGGCAATAATTAAGCATCGTAATTATTTGAGCATGTACTAACAATGCTTGGAACTTTCAAGATAAGTAACAGCAAACATTGAAGCAAAGGACCAACAACTACATTAATAAGCACAGAAACTAATCAACTAAGATGTAGTTGAGATAGTTTGAGTAGAGTATCTCGTATGAAAATAAAATAAATAAAAAATTAAAGTAAACACTCACCTTGTTTTCTAAATTTAGGAAATATTATTATGTTAGTTTTTAAAATTAAAAAAAAATTGTCAGATAATTTTTATAATGTTAATTAAGTTTTTGAAATTTAACTACTTAATATCATTTTGAATGTATATGAATATGATTATTTTACTCACACATTTTCTTAATTTTAAATTATTGTGATTGTTAATTTATATTTTTAAAAACTTATTTTTTAATCTAGGAAACATTTATTTTGGTTCTTGAGAAATTCTTAAAATAAACAATAAGTCTTTAAATATAATTATTTAATATCATTTTGATATATATATATATATATATATATATATATATGTCAAGAAATAACATAACAATTCTTTCAAATTAAAGGATTAATTTAAGTATTTATTCTTTTATACTTTTTTCAATTTCAAGAATATGATTATAAGTTTATACTTTTAAATATATATTTAATAATTTCTTTGGTTTCATAGACTTAAATTATAATACATTTCAAATTTAAGAACTAATTTAAGTATTTATTATTGTCGTCTCTAATTACAAGATCCTTTCAACTAAACTACATCCTTTAAAAAATTAATTAATTAAATTAAAAATATTAAACTTATTAATAATTTAAACTGTTTTTTCAAATTATCTTTAACATCTCTTAAATTAACTTTTTTTTTTCCATTTAATACTCTTTCAACTCAAGATATATATTTCTATTTATTTTCTCCAATAAGAGAGATAAAATTTTTATCCAATTAATTTTAATAATTTATTATATTTTATCTAAAAGAATGATTAGTAAAAAAATATTTTAGAAAAGAAATATAATTAATACATAGAAAAAAGATATAGACAAGAAAAGAAATGAAAAAGAATCTTATGTATATACCTATATGTAAAAAAGAATACATGATTTATTCTCAGCACTCAAATAAATTAATTATTTGTAACCAATTAAATTCTTAAACTTATTAGTTAACTTAAATTTTTTTATTTTATTTCTAAATCTTTAAATAAGATATAAAGATATAAAATATCTCAAATTACTTGATATACAATAATAGAGGTAGTTCTAATTAAGTTAGACTTTGTTAATTTGATGATTAACATATGAGTGTAATTCCATAAAAATATGGTTGCAATTAATGAAATTAAAGCAGAAAGGAAAGGGCATGATGACACAAGAGAAGACAAGCAAAGTCACCAACCAAGGGCAACATAGTCACTCCACTTCCCCCCCATAACCTTTTCTTAAACAGTCTCTACATTTTCCAGCCTCATGAAAAGAAAAAGAAACTCCCTAAACCCCCCTTCATGTTCCTTTTTCTCTTTTTGGTCTAAGCAACCACAACCACCCCACCACCATGGCAATCTTGATCACACTCTTTCTCTCCCTCTCTCTACTCCTCCACTTCTCTCTCTCATCCTCCTCCTCCATCCACGACCTCCTCAGGTCCAAGGGCCTCCCCCCTGGCCTCCTCCCCGAAGAGGTCAAGTCCTACACTTTCTCCCAAAATGGGCACTTGGAAGTGTTCCTAGAGGCACCTTGCTTGACCAAGTACGAGAACAGGGTCCTCTTCCAACAAGTTGTCACTGCCAACCTCACCTACGGTAGCCTCATAGGTGTCCAAGGTCTCCAACAAGAGGAGTTGTTCGTTTGGCTACCTGTCAAGGACATAATCGTAAATGACCCTTCTTCGGGCTTGATTCTCTTTGACATTGGCCTTGCCTACAAACAACTCTCTCTCTCTCTCTTTGATGATCACACTCTTTCTCTCCCTCTCTCTCCTCCTCCACCTCTCTCTCTCCTCCTCCTCCTCCATCCACGACCTCCTCAGGTCCAAGGGCCTCCCCCCTGGCCTCCTCCCCGAAGAGGTCAAGTCCTACACTTTCTCCCAAAATGGGCACTTGGAAGTGTTCCTAGAGGCACCTTGCTTGACCAAGTACGAGAACAGGGTCCTCTTCCAACAAGTTGTCACTGCCAACCTCACCTACGGTAGCCTCATAGGTGTCCAAGGTCTCCAACAAGAGGAGTTGTTCGTTTGGCTACCTGTCAAGGACATAATCGTAAATGACCCTTCTTCGGGCTTGATTCTCTTTGACATTGGCCTTGCCTACAAACAACTCTCTCTCTCTCTCTTTGAAGATCCCCCTCACTGCAAGCCCCAAGGTACTTAGTTTACTTACATACATTCCATCACTTCCCAATTCTCCTCCCATCTCATAGATCTACCACTACCCTTTTCAAACTATACTCCAAACACCACATGCAATTCTATTTTTTTATCATATCAAATTATCAATCTAATATTTTTTTTTACCATTTTTGGTAGTGTGTGTGACTCAAAATTTCTTTTTGGCATTTTGTGTTGCTTCAGAAGAAACACCCACACCCACTCTTCTTAAGGCTACATTCATGACCCTCGTTTCACAAACTGAATATACTTAGAGTTACAGAAACAACCAGTTTTAAGTTTTTTAAGTAATTCTTCAATTTAGTTCTTGAGGTGTTATATTTTAGTGAAGTTTGAAGATTAGTTTGTGGATTATTTTTTTTTTGTTTTAATATTTAAGAGACTACTTGACATAATCTCTAGTACTTTCAAGACTTTTTTAATAATTTGTTTTACTTTGAGGGTCATCTACATAGAATAGGATCGAATGGGTAGTTTACGTTTAATTTTTTTTTAGTCAGTTTCAATTTTTAATTGCTCTCTTTGAACTTATCTCTCGTGTCTTCATATCTCAATATCTGAAAAAAGAAGGCTCGGACAATACAATAACTTTGCCATTTTGCAAGCCACAGACAAAAACAATTAAGAGGAACTTTCCTCTGTATTCAAAGAAAAAACTAAAGTACATTATTCTACATAATATGTCAGTTCCTGAGCACAACAGTAACAGTTTTAGGCCAGATATGCAGGTTCAATGGTTCATGGTGTGGGTGGGGTTAATTTACTGATTTGATCTGTTTTGTTGTTTCTAGTTGTTGTTATTATTATTTATTTATTTGTACTGTGATGATTTAACTTTGCGTGCATATGTGTAAGGCTTAAAAGACGGGATATTTTTGTTCATATGCAAAATTCGTGGTTGAGGCTGATTGCATGGTTGTGCAGGTGGGTTGAGGAATCATGTGAGGAAGGAAAAAGGTTTCGAGGCCCTGAGGTAGAAAAAGATGCCACCCTGTTTTTCAGGCTTCAGTTGTTGTCTTTTTCTATGTCATGTTTATATAATTTTAGCCTTGCAATGCCACCACTATAGTCATATGAGTTATGAGTAGGTGCTTGTAGCGTAGAGGTTGAGTGAGCATGTAAAGATGTGAGAGAAGAGGGGGAAAAAAAGGAAGAAAAAAAAAAAAACAAAAACTAAGGAATCTCATGTGTAATCAATTTTACAAGTTGTAATCTTCTAACTTTTGGTTCATTCGCCGCTTGTTTTGTTTCAAGATAAAAAGATGTGATAAGTGTCAAAGCAAAGGATCAAATCTAGGTTTATGAATTCGCAAAGCAATGACTAGGAAACTTGCCAACGAAAATGGGATGAAGAAAAGTCATTTGGAATATGTTAATTGTCACTTCGTTTTTTCCTTTCTGGCACTTTCTTATTACAACTGGATTTTTTTGTTCTTTACTTTTTGTTTAGGGAATAATAGAGTGGAACAATTGATTAGGATTCTTATAAAAATATATATATTTAACAGAAATACATGGTTTTCGTTTTTATGAGAGACTAAAATTATTTATACCCCTTTTTAGTTTTATAGTTAATATAAGAACTAGAACTGAAATAAAAATTTACAGCACTGGAAAAACTAAATTTTAATTTGAGGGAAAAAAGCATAATTTGTGACACAAAAAAATCACCCCTTGGGTCCAAAAAGTTACCTTAATCGTCTAGGCTTAGAAACTTGCATATCAAATGGCAAAAGAATCTTGAACTTTGAGGTACTTGAAAGGAGAAAAAAAGGGTAATTGGTGCTCCAATGTTGTTGTAACATTCAATAATTCAACTCTTGAGCATAAATGGCATGCAAGTTTTCTTTCTTTCTCATACCATATTCAATAGATTGGTGAATAGTGATAGTATAATATTCAACCTTTGATATGCATAATATCGTGATAAAAAAAATGTAATGATATCAACGTTGGAGATTATCAAATTTTGGGTCATTCTATGGAACTAGTATGTGTCGTGTGCATTGTGAGTTTTTGAAATTTAAATACAAATAAAAAAAATGTATTTAATTTGAGCCTTTAAAGTCAAACTAACATGAACAAACTTGATTGCTTTGCTGGATGCAGCTAGCACGAGTAATTGAATTGCAACGGCACAAAATTACGATTTCCATAATAAGTGCTTTTATTTGGAGTTTAGCTTTTCTTTTCGGTGTAAAGTTAACAACTTTTTCTTATTTAGATGGAGCTTTGAATTTGGAAAATGAGATTTGGGTTAGCTCCTTGGGGATGGGGAGAATAGGTGTGCTACAAAGTCAGATTCAAATAGTGACGTGCTTGTGTTAAGTGCATCAATTGCTCTAAATCTTTCTTCCACTTTTTTATGGGAGAAAATTGGTATTTTATTCCAAAGATGGAGATATTGTCTGTAAATAATAAAGTAGGGGAATTCATCTATCCATCAACCCTATGAATTCACTATTTAAATCAAATTAATTAAATTAGTTTAGATTTATTTATTTTTATTTAACTCAAATCAAATTAATTAAACTTAATGTTGATTGGTTCAAATATCAGATTTACACATTTAAAATCTAAATCAATCCAAATCAAATTAATTAATTTATATATTTTTATTTTTATTTTTATCTAATTAACAATTAATATATATGTATCATTTTGATTATTTTAAAGATGTTTTTGTGTTTAAATATATAGATTTTTGAATTCCTTTTTCCAAATACTTAAAGAAATCAATAATATATTGAATGTCATTTTAATATATTGTAACACATTTACTAAGAGGAATTATATTACAAATCTATCAATTTAGCTAATTTTTGACAATATATTAATTTAGTTAATGTTGAAAAATTTATTGACTTTGAGAAGAAAAAAATATTTTTTTAATTTTTCTTTTAAAAAAAATCATCAAATATTCAATGATCCGAATTTAAAAAAAATTATAAAATTCAAACTAATTAAATTTAATTAGTTCGAAATGGATTTTTACTTGAACTCAAACCAGTGAATGCTCTTATCATAAATTTTCAAAGTGGTCATGAATATCATCCAAAATCAAAACATAAATAAAAAATATTGAATAATATGATTTTTTTTATTCCAAAAAAAAAGTTTAAAAAGGAGAAAATTTAAAAAGATTTTTTTTCATGCATATTTACCGTACTAAAAACTAATTCTATTCACATGGTTTGCATGAAGAAATTTTACATATAACAATAACACAAAATTTTTGTCTAATAAATTGTCTTCAAAATATGTGAACCTGAAATCCATTAAGTTAATATAATGTCACGAAAAGAAAATACCAAGAAGGCAAGAAAGAATGTAGATATTTCCTCTCTCCAAAAACTTACTTTGATTTTAGTTGTGTAGTGATTTATTGATAAAGAATTTGATATATAATGTTCTATATATCATAAATCTAATTATTAAATCTATTAAAATAAGTATTAAACATCTTTATTTTGATAAGCTTCATAAATTTTACTAAATTAAATTTACAAAAATATGATAATCCTAATGTATTTTGAGAAACAAGACTATATACATTGAAACTATAAAATAATTTCATATTATTATTCAATTACAAATTATTATCATAAATTTTTTATTAGTTAACGACATAAAAATATTATACGAACAATATATCATCAATAAACTCACGTGTCTTTATTAACTTAAATATGCTAACGATCAAAGGCTTGAAAAAAAACACTATACCAATCCATTTAGACATAAAAGACTTGATTTATAGTGAATTCTTTTGGAAGTATTTGAGAATACTTGAGGTTGAAAAAAATTACATTCATAAATTTTGTTCTTTTACATCAGATTTTTTTTTCTTTTTTATGAATGAAATTTTAAACTGACATCGATTCAATTAAACCAATCGTGGTTTGATTTTCTTTCTTCCGGTGATATACCAAGGTAGGTTTGTCTTTTCACTGTTATTTGTTTGTGAAGAGCCTTATTCGAATGTTTGTTTCCAATAATGGAGGTAAAGTAAAGTTGCTAAAAACACGAAAATAGAAGCATCATAAAATATTCAAAAAAAAATGAAAGAAAGTAACGTAGAAATATAATTAATTAATTAATTTGAGCAATTGGCTTCGTATAGGTCGCTGCCTCTCCCGCTCCCTACTGTGTCGTATATTGTATCTTTTGTGCTGTTTTTTTTTTTAATATAATAAACAACCTTTGTAAATGTGCATCGATTTGGAGCATATGCTCACTTTTCTAGAAAGATCAACCATTATTCCAAAAAAAAAATATAGTTAATCAATTATTATTTGATTTTAATTTAGCTTTGAAAGGTGACAAATTAAATTGGGTAAAAGAAAGTTTCTTGATAGAGTTTGAATTCTAAATTTAATGTATTGATGAGTATAGAATACATGAATAATATATATAAATATATATAGGCAGCTAATTTAGCTTACTAATTAAGGCAATTGAGAATTAACAACTCACAAATAATATAACATGAAAGATGTAGAATTATAAATAGTTATGTCAGTAGCTATGTTGTGTTTTTTTACATGTCCTCAAAAACTAATTGAGTTAGAATTTGAATCGGTCAAATAGTGAACTAGATACTCCACATTGAAATGAATGTTAGCTTAGTCATGCAATGGTAAATTAGGTGTTACTGAACTGAGAAAATGAATAATCGACTTGAAGTGTTTCTTTCAAGTCTAGGAGGAGAGAATGTTGTTACTAATGAGGGAAATTGTAGTGAGATTATCATACATTCTAGGTATATAATGTGTTGATATAAATTAGAAGTGTTTTTAATAATTTTTTATTAAAAATAAATATTATTTTTTGGTAAAAAAATTCTTTAAAATGTGGGATAAAGTTGGACAACCATAAATAAACATTAGTATGCATATATCATTCATTTGCATTGAGCAATGTGCAATAATATTCTCAATAACAATACACATCAAGAGTCATGAGACAATAATTAAAAGTTATATAATGAGGTATGCAATGGATTAATTTAACTTTATATGCATGTGACAAAAATCACAAGTGTCATTTGATGATTCATAGAATAGTCTAAGAGTATATGTACATGTCCATGTAGACATCTAGTCAAAGATGTTTGACGTCCAACACTCTTACTAGGTTGAAGATACACTAGAGCACATTAATTAGGACAACATTGTTACAATAAGTTTCACTCTGTGCACCTAACAAGTGAGACTAAGCTCCCAACTAGGATCCTTTATGTCGAAAGTCTTCTTAATAATTGATTCATGTATGAAAGAGTTTTCTTGGTAACATGGAGGATTAGGAGAGTCTTTCTAGGAACATGGAGGGTTAGGAAAGTCCTCTTGGTAACATGGAGTGTTAGGAGACATTTCTTGCTATTATGAGTTAGTGATGGAGCAACACTACAAGTACTTAAAGCATGATTGTGCTCTATGAGCCACTATCAGATATACTCGTGGACTAACTTTCACTACAAAGGAGGGTTAAGCCATGGTTCTTTATTTGAAAGGAAGATTGTTGGGATACAATCAAAATTCTTCATCCTTAGAACATAATGATGGACACAAGTTTATACACACAATTTTATTCATTGGTAAGAAGTCTTTTGAGTGATGATCAAAAGGAAAACCATGAGATCTAACCCAAAGTAGACAATATATTATAAATGTGAGATATGTGTGTGTGTGAACCCTAGTACAACAAGAGTTTTTCACCTTAATAATTTCATTTATAAACTTCATTATTTTAATTAAAATACAAATGCTTAAATCTAATATATCATTTAATAAGATACTTTACTTTATTATAGCTTCATGATTATTTTTAGTTATTATTGGTACAGTCCGATTGCAAAATGTATAGCTAATTTAGATTAATATTTTTCTATTATTGCTAACTTCCTTTTTAGTAATTATATAGTACTACTGCACACGTAAAAGTCTAACATAAAATATAAAAAAAATAAGAAAAAAACTAATAATATAACAACCTTAATTACATTAGGTGAAAATTGGGCTAGTTAAAAGCATGGGTCTTAAGTTTGATCTCCATTATCACTATATTTGTAATCTTTTTTTATCTTTATTAAAAAAATCAACTAATTAATATAAAAAATAAAATAAAAAATAAAAAATAAAAAATAAAAAAGAAAAGCGCAAAGTAAAGGTTAATCAAGTGAACTGGTATGGCTTTTAACAAATGGTCCATGCATATATATCACTTAAAAAGGAGGTAATAGGAAACAATAAAAACACATTAAACATAAGATAAAATTCATACCCCCTTATTATTGAATACACAAGGCAGGTGATTATGGTGGAGTATTTGAGGGTACAGGAAAAAAGTGAAATCATCCTTT